GAAGAAGGAAGAAGGAGAAGGAGGAAGAAAAAAAAAGTTGCAGAAGAAGGAAGAAGAAGAAAGAAGAAAAAAAAAACGTGGATGACACGTGGTGCTCAGTCATTGTCCACATAGGCGACACGTCATAATTAACGGCAGATTTAACAGTTTGACTAACGGATGTATGAGACTGTCCCAAAATTTACACTTTAGGTATGAATCTGAGAAGAAAAAAACTTGATGTATTAAATGTTGAAAACCACAAAACATGAGGGTAGTAAATAATCTTTTACCCAATAAAATAAAATAAAAGATGAATGCTTCCATTGTAAAAGCCAAGAGAAAATAAAAAGATGAGAATTTGATTTTTACAAGAGGACGATCTGTTTTCTTTATAGCATGGGATCTTTGAGTTTCTTAGTTTGTCTTATGGTGATAACTAAATGAGGAAGAAGCAGAATTGAGAGTTATCTTGACTGACATACATACAAAATTGAAAATTAAAGAATGGACCAGACCATTGGTATTCTGTGAGTGGTACGTGTTTTTGAGTGTTGTAGCAGATATGCAATTATAAAGGCTTCTTTATAAGTATTGCAGTTTGACTGTGGTTTCAGTCATTAAGGTGACCAAATGCTTAGTGATACACATATTGCACTTATAAGACTAATACTATGCATTAATTCATTCATATCTTGTTGTAGCTTCATGTGTTTGTTAATTTCATGACAGTAATATTGGGGATAGTGTTTAATTTGTAAAATGTCATTCCCTCTTGTTCTTTATGGATATTAGCTCAAAACAGAAGTTTGTTTATCATGGATTTTATTGTTTTGATCTCATGGCCATTAAGAGCAATTTTAATATTCGATTTTGAGTCTTTTGTATACAAGTGTTGACTCTAGTGGGAGAATGTAAGGCTATATTAGAGTTACACACTTGTATGTAACATCTCATATAGATTAAGGATTGCAGAGATTGATTTCAATAATACTTGTATGCTAATAAAGAGAGTGTATTATTAGGATTTTATAGCTAAAGTAATCCTGATACGATTAGTAAACCTAATCAAATATGAATACTAAAGTTTAGGTGATAAAAGTCTTGTTCGAGTAGAATTACATGATGGGAAGTTTCCTACTTGGATTCCACCTCTTTTACTATATAACAAGGTCTCTGCTCTCACACTCTACACACATAAATAACCCTTCTAGCCCCATTGAATAGAGTTGTGATTAGGTGAGCGAAAGAGAGTGGATGATCATTTGTTTACGCTATAGAGTTGTAACGATACAACGATAGATGCAAACGTTTAGAAGATTGCTCAACGGAGGTTCTATTCCAGATAAGTGTTTTTAGTTGATTATGAATTTCCTTCTAACAACAATGAGTAGCAATAGTATAGTTCAAATTCGTCTTTAGCGAAAATTGAACCTAAGACTCCTCATTTACAATTGAACATGAATACCACTAAACTAGTACTAAGTAGCTTGTTTGAAATTTCTTTTAAAACAGCTAAAATGTTAAACATGGTCAGACACTCGATTGAAAGCGCTTTTATTAGAATACCACTAAACCAGTACTAAGTAGCTTGTTTGAAATTCCTTTCAAAACAACTAAAATGTTAAACATGGTCAGACACTCGTGAATGATTTCGGTTGAAAGAGCTTTTATTAGAAGTGAATTATTTTTATTTAGATGAGATTAGACCACGACTATAAATGAAGTAAATCCATTTCTTTGTTGGAAAATAAAATAACAGGGTAATGTTAGAGAGATTACACTTGTAAACTAAATTTTGTAAGACATATAAGCTAATGATTCGATTATTACTTAAATGTTGATTAATGTGCTTATTTCTTAGTGATAACACATCATTTAGTTTGCAAATTTAGTCTACCTAACATTACCCAAAATATTAAGATTCTCACATTAAATCTTAATGTATGATAAAAAAACACATCAGGAAAGACACAAATTATAAATTAAAAAAAAAAAACAAGAGTTCCAACAAGCCTCAAACCGGTGACCTCATAATGCAAAAAAGCCTCAAACATATGTACAATAAAGAAAGAAGAAAGACGAATACAATGAGAGCTTGGACGAAATATGACTGAAGGATTGAAGCATCTGAATGGGCTTTGAAAATCCATGAATATTGATATGTATAATTCATAAAAAAAAAATTAAAAACTTCATAATTAATTGTTTCTGAGTCACCACATTGTTTTTTTTTAATAGACGATATTACCTACACCAATGGGGTGGAGGAATGGGCCAAAGCCTCACAATGACTAACAATAATTTGGTTCAAATTCGCATTTGTCGAAAATTGAACTTAAGATCTCACACTTACAAATGGAAAGAAATACCACTACACCGTAATACAATGTGGCACTGATTCTTATTTCTTTTCTTTAAGAAGTTCAAACAAGCCTCAAATTGGTGACCTCATAATGCAAGAAAGCCCTAAAGCTTGCACTTTTCACAACAAAGCCCTAAAAGCTTGCACTTAATAACCACATAACATTGTGACACAAGGCAACCACGACCTCATACAGCCAACATGAAAAGAAAAAAAATCCACCTCTCTAAAAAGTCTCCCATTTTCTCTCTATAACTCTGTTTGTGAACCACAATCTCAATAACTTTTGCCGCCAGCCCTAGCCTTTGGCTTAGGTGCCAAAGGCATCCACCCCTCATTCCTTCATTCCTTCCTTATTTTCTTTTATCATCTCTCTTCTCTGTTTTCTCATGAGTTTTTCTCTCCTTTGCCCTCTCTTTTCCTCCCCTTTCATCTCATTTTTTTCTTTTCCCCTTTCAGCTTCCTTCCTCATCTTCCTTCACCTTTTCCAGTTTTCTCCCTTCATTTTTTTATTCTTGGTTCTCCCTTGAGTTTAATCTCAGTTTTCCTTTAGCCGAGTCTCAATTATCCCTGGCTTTATGCCCATCACCTGCTTTTACTGCTTTATGTCTTTTATTTTTCTGTCCTCCCCTCTCCCTAGTTGTGATACTTCATCCTCATCCCACCATGTCCTCGGATTGATGGGCTGCCGATCAGATATTGGATACCAGATCCACTTCCCTCCCTTATTTCCCTTCCTTCAATTGTTATGCTAGATCCTCATCGAGGCCAAGTGTTGGTTATTTTACATACTCCTTAACCTCATTCTCTATCCATATATCTGCAAGAGTTCGTGAAGGGAACTTGGATTTGGTGTCTATTTTCTCGGTTCTGAGTTTGGCTTTCTATGAGGATATGACATCGGCGGCGGTGTGGTCTTTGCGGCTTAAGAGTAGGATTTTTATTGTTTGTTTTTTGCAGCCTTCGGGCCTAAGCTGATGTGGGCCTCTCGTTGTTTCTTGGGTTATCGCTCTCATTTTGCTTGAGCCTTTTACTTTCTCTGTAGTTGTCTAACCGCTTTTTTTTGGGCCTGTACTAGTTTTGAATGTAATGAAAGTTATCTTCGTGATAAAAGAAAAAAGAAAAAAAATTCACTTTTTGGTTTTCATATTGTAATAAGTGCATAAATTTTACGCTCAAATTAATGCATACCCTTAATCCTTAAGATAAGGCACAACCGACTTAAACTATTAGGATGAGAATATTTTTGCTCACCATTCTTAAGTAAATGTGATACTCATTACTTTATTTATCATAGTTGTTTGAGTTTAAACTTCAAGATATGTGTAGTGAATAAACATAAATCTCAAAATTTAAACTCATTTAATGATAATAAATAAAGTGGTGAGTATTACCAACACTTGAGAAAGTACTACAAGACAACAGCTCATCTACCATGACAATTTTACCATGGCCTTTACGAGCACATAATAAAAAGTACAAATTAAATTTTTTACCACAAATAACCTATTGTAAAATAATAGTGAATGACCATGCGCAAAGTTTCACGTTATAAATATACTAACCATCATGAACAATGCTCGTAGTCAATATTGTTAGTATCCACATGGCCATTTTATTATATACAACATGCATATTGTGTGATAGAATCATACATGCTTGTGAGCTCACTTAACATGAATGAGTGGGTTTTACAAGTCATCAGTTAATAGAGAAAAGTTAATGGTTAAGTTAACAAAATATCAAAGTGGCGAAAAAATCAAAATCTAAGTATAAAAGTGAGATGAAAAAAAGTAAATATAGCAAATTACGATTTTAACAGACAGTAGTAAAATTCACACTAATATGCCTCAAAATGAATTTGCATAACATATACTAAAGAGTGAACTGCCAATTTAGTCCCTGAATTATCATCTGAGTGAAAATTAGATCCTTAAACTTCTTTTTTCCAGAAAAAGCAGTCATTGAATTATAAAAATCTGTCAATTACATCCATAATATTATATTCAAAGCTACTATACTTAATTTTCCGCGAATTTAAGTCACGTTACTTGCATGCGATACACATCAGAGAGTAGATTGATGATTTTACATTAAAAAATAGTGTGTGGAGTTAACTTTGAAGAGTAAATTAAACGTTAGATTCGCAACCTATATGAAATGTTAAGGGCTTATAGGCGAGAAAAGAGCGGTATTACACCCAAATTATGTCTAGTGACTTAGGTTGACAAAAAATTGAATAAAATAGTTTTGAATATAATAGTCAGGATGAAATTAACAATTTTTAATGAATTTAAGAATTTATTTGATTGAAAAAAATAATTCAGGAATCTTATTTTCGTTAAGATGATAGTTCAATGATTAAATACTTCATCCTATACTAATTATCAATAAGAGCATGAAATCACATGTACCAAAAAGTCCAATAATATTAAAACACTTGTAACATATGTAAACTTTTGAATTATGTTCGCAACTTCCAATACTGTTTCGATTTCGAAAATTCTGAATTTCAAAATTGTAGAGTATCCCGTTCCCGGAATTTTGGATGGAAATTGAAAACGTTGTTTAAATACCAGAAATACCCTTAATGTGTTTTGAAATTGACCTCGTCTACCCCCGTGTTTCTGTAATGAACGTCTACTCCCTCGCCTGCAAAAGAGTTTTCAACACTAAAACGTCCACTCTCGCATAAGAGAAAGAAAGAAAGGACCTCACTCTCCCAACAATCTCTCAGAATCTCTCGAATCTCCCAATCTGTCTCAAATCTCCAGCCTCCCAATCTGTCTCAAATCTCCAGCCTCTTCTGCCACACAAAGGTAAGCAAGCAATCTCTTCAAAACTTTCGATTCTAGGGTTTCAAATGCTCTCAATCTTCCTTATTTTATTGATTTTTATACGCCTTTGTTTTTTCTGTGCTTTTTCGTTTCCATTTTGTTGGGCGATTTGTTCAGTTCTGTAAACTTAGGTTCAATGGTTTTGTAATTTGATCGATTTGTGCTCAATGGTTCTCGTCATTTCGTTTGTTTTGATGGCAGACTCTAATTCCCACGCTAGGGTTTCCAAACGGGTTTGAAATATTAATTTTTAGGGTTCTTGCGGATTCTAGGTACAATGCTTCATGGGTATTTTTTACTTATTGGCCTGTGATTGACCTTTTGTGGCGTTCTTCGATCTGTCAGCTTTGAATTTAGATTCAACGTTGCAGCACAGGGAGTTTTTTTTTTTTTTTTTTTTTTTTTTTTTTTTTAACTGTGGAATTGAAATCTGAGGATTTCCTTGTTATTAATAAGCTTCTCTATGGTTTCCTCAAGTTTGTTTTCAATTGAATTCGTGTTAAGCTTCTTGGTAAGAAGGGATCTTCTAGGATTGCTTCCTTTCACAAACATACTCTTTTGTATATCAAATTTTGAATCCTGCATGATGTGTGTTTTTGTGCTCTTTAATCTTCATGTAATCAGAAAGCATGAGTAAATAACTATGATGTTAACAACTCTATCCTTTCTATTCCTACGCAAATAAAAAGTAATTGACCCAAAAAATATTTCCTATGATGCAAAAAATTCATCGTGGTTTGCAATTTTCCAAAAGCAGTTATCCCTTGATTTTCTCATCCTTACTCCTCTAGCCCAAACACTAATGGTTGGCTTATTATATGTCTCCGGCTCCAAACCACTGAATCTTGCATAACCTTCTGGCTTGGTGCTATGCCAAGGCAACAAGTTAAAATCGTTTATTGAGCAAGATCTTGTTTCTTTGTCTTAGCTGGCCCTTTGTGAGGCACTTTATAGGGTTTATGTTGGTTTAAAAACCATGAATTTGCATACCTATTTTATATGATGTCAAGTAAGGAGGTGGTTTTTTTGTTTTATTGGCTTATATTTTTGGTTTGTTAACCGAAATGTGTCATTTTTTTTTCTCCAATAGTCTGAAATTTTGGGATCATCAGGTGGTATTGTTTTGTCAGGTTCTGGAAATAAGTAGCAGAGATGATTGCAGAGAAGCCCAGCTGGATCAGACATGAGGGAATGCAAATTTTCTCCATTGACGTTCAACCTGGTGGACTTAGGCTTGCCACTGGTGGGGGTGATCACAAGGTTCAATTCCTCTCCTCCTTTTACTCTTGCTTAGGAAATGTAGGAAATAGGTTGTAATGTATATCTAATGATGTGTTTGGATTGTGTTTTTAGAAGGGGTCTGAGTTCTTTTTAGGAATTGTGTTGTGTTAGTAAAAAATACAAACTGAAATAGGGCAGAGCTCAAATACACAGGAAAACGGTGGTTAATTTTATTGTTTAAATCACACTGTGGTTTCCGAATTGGTGATAGATAAAACTATTTTTTTATGTTACGTAATGTTTGATGAAAACAAATTAAACTATGTAGTCAAATATAAATCCACCATTCTAAATCTATGCAGTAGAATGCAGACTAACTTTTAAATCCATAAACTAAGGATAATATATAATTTTTAACGGTTTAGAGCATAACTTGTTTGTAGGGCTGCATCATTTTAACGGTTTAGAGCATAACTTATTGAATATTTTTAATTTTTAATTTTTCATTTATGTTTCTTGTCTACTAGTATGATACCCTTTTGTGTATATATATATATATATTTTTTTTTTTTAATTTTAATTATTTTAAACTAAGTTTTTCGTATTTCAAAAATGGTTATTGAAGTACTTCTTGTGCTGTCTGTACATTACTAGTTTTTATTTATTCGCATTTGAAATTAAAATGCAATAGATGAAAAACATTAATAGTTCGAGGTAGGATCTCATGTATGGCATAACTCATCTACTCAAAGTCTCTCCACTTTAGTTGTAGTCCATGCTAAGTGCATTCTTTAAGACCATGAAGCTATTTCCAACAATATATGTTTTCTTTCTTAAAGTTACAACAACAACAACAACAAAGCCTTTTCCCACTAAGTGGGGTCGGCTATATGAATCCTAGAACGCCATTGCGCTCGGTTTTGTGTCATGTCCTCCGTTAGATCCAAGTACTCTAAGTCTTTTCTTAGAGTCTCTTCCAAAGTTTTCCTAGGTCTTCCTCTACCCCTTCGGCCCTGAACCTCTGTCCCGTAGTCACATCTTCGAACCAGAGCGTCATTCGGCCTTCTTTGCACATGTCCAAATCACCGGAGCCGATTTTCTCTCATCTTTCCTACAATTTCGGCTACTCCTACTTTACCTCGGATATCCTCATTCCCAATCTTATCCTTTCTCGTGTGCCCACACATCCCACGAAGCATCCTCATCTCCGCTACACACCCATTTTTGTGTACGTGTTGATGCTTCACCGCCCAACATTCTGTGCCATACAACATCGCTGGCCTTATTGCCGTCCTATAAAATTTTCCCTTGAGCTTCAGTGGCCTACGACGGTCACACACAACACGCCGGATGCATTCTTACACTTCATCCATCCAGCTCGTATTCTATGGTTGAGATCTCCATCTAATTCTCCGTTCTCTTGCAAGATAGATCCTAGGTAGCTAAAACGGTCGCTTTTTGTGATTTTCGCTAGATTGCTCCGGTCATTAGTGTGGATAAATATATAAATGGATAGAGATAGGAAAGCAAACACAAGATGTGCGTGGTTCACCCATATTGGCTACGTCCACGGAATAGAAGAGTTCTCATTAATTGTGAAGGGTTTACACAAGTACATAGGTTCAAGCTCTCCTTTAGTGAGTACAAGTGAATGATTTAGTACAAATGACATTAGGAAATATTGTGGGAGAATGATCTCGTAATCACGAAACTTCTAAGTATCGGAGTGTGGAGTCGTCTTGACTTGCCTTATCTGTCTCATAGGTAGATGTGGCATCTTCTCTGGAAGTACTCTTCCTCCATCCAGGGGTGGTATATCTTTAACTGGTGGAGATGCACAAGGTAATGTATCAATTTCACTTGAAGCTTACTTGTAGTTTCAGGCTTGGTCAAGCGCGATACAAACCATGTAGTAGGAGCCCCCAAGTCGCCGAGCTAGGGGGTCTGCTGAAAGAGGTGACAGACAAGGTAAGCAATCAGAGCTCCGACTGATTGTTCACCTTCTCCCCATCTTGCAGCAGCATGAAGGATAAAGAGAAGAAAAATGAGAAGAGATGATATGAGATACTTTTGCTTTTGAAGAAGTAACTTTCCACAGGCTTATTCTTGAACTGAGCTGGAGGGTTTTCTGGTTTCCTCCAGAGTATAAGGCCGACTGAAGAATTTGAGGGTCAAAACAAGTCCATCAAATCTAGAGTACGTTCCACCCTGCTGATATGGGATACTTTTGCTTTTGACAGAGTAATGGATGTATCGGCACGTGTGCTGTTACGCTTGTCTCCACATGCTTCCTTGTATCCTTCGCACTTGCCCTATCTGTTCCTCAAGCAAATGCGGAATCTTCCCTGGAAACATAAGATGTTGAAGATGAGTACTCGAGAGCAATGCCAGGTAAGTAATCAGGTAAGGGGTTCCAGGCAGTCAGATCCTGGCTGGAAGCTTGATTCCAAGTGCTGACTTGATTGCTCTCTTTTTCTCCTTGTCTTGCAGGTAAAAACAAGGCCAAAGGAAAAGACAGGGAAAAAGCATGATATGGGATACTCTTGCTTTTAACCCTGATGATATGAGATATTCTTGCTCTAGTATAGCTTGTTTGCAGAGGTATTATCGGGGGGAAAGAAAGCTGAATATTTCGAAAGGCTTCGTTGGGAGTGCCCTCTCAGATATGATGAAGGGTTGAGCATTTTTGCAGGTCTGCCTGTCCGTTGGGGATGGGGGTCAACATATATAGGAGTCTCCCTAACAAGTAGTAATGCTATTCCTTTACCCTGCTTGGTCATAGCACGGTAGTGGGAGCTGCCAGTTTCACATGTTTTAACTCTGTCAGAGCACTTTGAAAAAGTGGTCTGTGGTATCTGGCTCTCGAGATTCGGAGAACGATGCCTCTTCGATTTTTGAGAAAGCAATCATGCTGGGGGTCTGGCTCTCGAGATTCGGAGAGCAGTGTCTCTTCGATTTTTGAGGAAGTAATCATGTTGGGAGTCTGGCTCTCGAGATTCGGAGGGCAGTGCCTCTTCGATTTTGGAGCAAGCAATCTTGTTGGGAGTGTTGTCTCGAATGTGAGTAAAGGTTGGGCATGTTTGCTAGTCTACCTTGCCACGAAGCACAAAGGTTGACACACAGGGACTTTCCAATTATCCAGCAATGGTACTGTTTCTTTACCCTCTCTTCGATTTTGAGAAAGTAGTCATGTTGGGAGTCTGGCTCTCGAGATTCGGAGGACGGTGCCTCTTCGATTTTGGAGCAAGCAATCTTGTTGGGAGTGTTTTCTCGAATGTGAGTAAAGGTTGGGCATGTTTGCTAGTCTACCTTGCCACGAAGCACAGAGGTTGACACACAGGGACTTTCCAATTATCCAGCAGTGGTACTGTTCCTTTACCCTTGTGGGTAATAATATGGTAGCTAGACCTTCAAAATTTATGTGTCTAAACTTTGTTAGTGCTGTTTCTTTGCTATTCTTTCACCTTTCTTGGTCAGAGCGATGTAGTGGGAGCTGCAAGCTTCACGTGCTCAACTTTGGCAGAGAACTTTGGCAAAGTTATCTGTGGTACCCATGAGCTATTGTTGCGTGTGGGAAGTGGGTGATTGAACAGTAAGATTCATGTGCTTTCTACTTCACCAGAAGTCTTCGACAGAATGCCCATAATTTCTGCAAAGCTGAGTGTTCGTGTGACAGGTGCTGACAAGGCTAGAAAAGTAGGTGCCTCTTCGATTTCTGAGATCGGCCCTCGTGGTCTCTGAGCAGCCCAGCTTTTGAGAAAGCGAGCGCCTCTTCGATTGATTCGGAGAACGATGCCTCATCGATTTTTGAGAAAGCAATCATGCTGGGGGTCTGGCTCTCGAAGATTCGGGGAGCAGTGTCTCTTCGATTTTTGAGAAAGTAATCATGTTGGGAGTCTGGCTCTCGAGATTCGGAGGGCGGTGCCTCTTCGATTTTGGAGCAAGCAATCTTGTTGGGAGTGTTTTCTCGAATGTGAGTAAAGGTTGGGCATGTTTGCTAGTCTACCTTGCCACGAAGCACAGAGGTTGACACACAGGGACTTTCCAATTATCCAGCAATGGTACTGTTCCTTTACCCTCTCTTCGATTTTTAAGAAAGTAGTCATGTTGGGAGTCTGGCTCTCGAGATTCAGAGGACGGTGCCTCTTCGATTTTGGAGCAAGCAATCTTATTGGGAGTGTTTTCTCGAATATGAGTAAAGGTTGGGCATGTTTGCTAGTCTACCTTGCCACGAAGCACAGAGGTTGACACACAGGGACTTTCCAATTATCCAGCAGTGGTACTGTTCCTTTACCCTTGTGGGTAATAATATGGTAGCTAGACCTTCAAAATTTATGGGTCTAAACTTTGTTAGTGTTGTTTCTTTGCTATTCTTTTACCCTTCTTGGTCAGAGCGATGTAGTGGGAGCTGCAAGCTTCACGTGCTCAACTTTGGCAAAGAACTTTGGCAAAGTTTTCTGTGGTACCCATGAGCTATTGTTGCGTGTGGGAAGTGGGTGATTGAACAGTAAGATTCATGTGTTTTTCTACTTCCCCAGAAGTCTTTGACAGAATGCCCATAATTTCCGCAAAGCTGAGTGTGCGTGTGACAGGTGCTGACAAGGCTGGAAAAGTAGGTGCCTCTTCGATTTCTGCGATCGGCCCTCGTGGTCTCTGGGGAGCCCATCTTTTGAGAAAGCGAGCGCCTCTTCGATTTCTGAGATCAGCCTTCGTGGTCTTTGAGCAGCCCAACTTTTGAGAAAGCAAACGCCTCTTCGATTTCTGAGATCAACCCTCGTGATCTCTAAGCAGCCCAGCTTTTGAGAAAGCAAACGCCTCTTCGATTTCTGAGCAGGCGCCTCTTCGATTTCTGAAGCTCCGTCGAGTGCAGATTTTTATAAGGGCTGGCATTAAGTTCCAAAGCACACTTGAATCTCCACCAGTAGAAGCTTCATTCTTGCACTTCTAAGATCTTGATTTGTCCGACCTCTTCTCTCTTCAACACCTTTGAAAATGTCTGGCCCCTCCGACCGTCGTTTTGACTTGAACCTTGTTGAAGA